GGTTCAGCCCCCAGCTGGAGAGCGCGTGGAGCAGCACAGCCTGGATCTTAGCTGCCACGCAAACGACTGGAAACACAAACTCTACCTGCCCCAAAATGGAATAATCCCACCCCAAGCAGATGATTTCTTCCCAAAAAGCAGCGAGCGAGCCCTCCAGCCTTGGCACCGTACAGCACCGGGAGGGGTTTGGGAGCTGTTAACCCCCAGCGCCGCGGCCGAGAGAAGCCGCAAGGTCCCCACCTGCTGATGGTCCAGCATGGTCAAACCTTTGACCCCCGCCAAGATGAGGTTCTTCGCCACTTCAGCTCCCAGACCCTTCATCCCCACCAGCAGCACCCGGGACGCTCGTAACCTGCGGCAGAAACGTTCGGTCAGCATGAACGGCACGGCCGGAGCATCCCCCTGAGGGTCGGGGCGAAGGGGAAGGGGCACTCGGGAGGGAAAACACGGCGGATAAATCAGGCTGGATGGGAAAGACCTGCTTCTCGGCATCCCTGCCTGCGGAAAAGGAGGGTTAACGCGATCTGGAAGCGAAGAGAGAAACAGGCAGGCCGTTAGGAATGGGTAATGCAGGAGAATTCACAGGAAAAAGCGTTTGCAGCTTGGGAAGAGGGAATGACACCCAAGTCTTGCGCTGCTTTTCGGCAAACGGGGCGGGGGAGGTTGCAGGTTCCTTACAACACACGCTTCGGGGTTCCGGCCAGCCCCCCAAAAAAGGGCTGAGGGCTGGAGCTGCGCCAGGAGGTGGATAAACTGTAATTAAGGGAAGATGAATACATTTTGGTGTATATGTATTCCAGCACAGAACTGTCCATACGAGTGTTCACCTTTCCCAATAACTGGCCAGTGCGTTTTCCTCGGTCTTTGTCACTGACGTGGATTTCCCCTGCCTTGGAAGTCTGGTGCTGGTCAGTTTGTACCCATTTCCCGACAAAATAACGTTTACTCCTCACCAAGCCATAGCCCGGGCTGTTAAACAGAGATTCCTGCTTTTTTGGCCTATTTTCACGCTCGTTTTTCACCTGCGTCGAGCAACATCATTACGTTTGCCTTTGTATTTCGGGGTTGTTCTGCCTTCTCCCGAACAAACCCCACCGCTGCTTCCCAGGGAAGAGCCAAATTTCACCCAAATGCGCACTACAACGGGTTTAGCTCAGCCTGAGTCTGGCATAGAGTCGGGCAGAGACCCCACAAGCCCCTGTAGACCCTATATGCTTACGTACCCACCACCGACCCCCTCACCTGCCCGTGAGGACCCCCCGCATCAGCTACAGTCGCCACAGAACCCTCTACGAAGCCCTCCTGTACGCTGTAGGATCCCCATAGGCCACCACGCGTCCCTACAGGGCCCTCCACAAGCGGCTATAGGGCCCCCATAAGTCCCTCCAAGGCCCCCTCCCATTAAGGGATCCCACCAGCACCAACTTCTATAGTGTCCCCTCGCATTACAGGGCCCCCACAAGGCCTCCATAACACCCCCACAAGCCTCTAGGCCTCTACAGCCCCCTCCCCAAGCTCCCTTCATGCTGTATGCTCCATCCCCAGGCCCCTATATGGCCCACCACAACCTCCTATACGCCCCTGGAAGACCCTCCAAGGCCCCCCTCATGTTGCAAAGCCCCTCC